AGGAAAACACTTTGCAAGAAAATGACCCAGAGGCCCTTTAAAAAGTAATAATCTGTGGAAAACTGGATGTCTTTAACACATTTGGGACATTGGGGGTTTTAGGATTCTGCTTTATTAGGTCTATACAGCCACTCGCATAAATTCACATATAATCTAATATTGATGCAAATGTTTCCATGGGTTTGGAATAAATAGACACATAGCAATTAAAAATTCACGACCTAATTGTTTCTCTCTTTGAAAGTCCTATAGAATTCCTGCTTAAAAATGTTAGGAAATGTCTTTTTTTATGTGACTTGTCCTGGTGAAAACCAATGATGCCAAAGATACAAATAATAAAACACCAGAAGTATGTAGAGAAAAGTGAGCCACGGTTCAAGTAAATAAATAAATACATGTTGAAAAACTAGATCCGGGGTAATGTTAGCTATAAAGAACCATTTCACTATAACTTTCTCACTAGTCACTTTACCTGTTATTATTATTACTGCATTATTTAAGTCGATCCATCCATCCATTTTCTTCCCCTTAATCAATTTCTGGGTCGGGAGGTGGCAGTCAGAGCTGCACCCAGTACAGAGCACCAGCCCCTCACTGATCCTCCTGCAGGTGGTGAGTCCACAGGAGCTGAGATCTTTCAGTGGGGCCTTCAGGCAAAGTGGGGTTAAGTGTCATGCCCAAGGACACAACGAGAGAAGTAGGTCTTGTGGTGGGCTCGAACCCATGACCTTCAGGCCCAAAGGCCAAAGCTCTACCAACTGAGCCACTGTCGCCCATAATTATTACATGTCCATCTGATACTTCTGCCACAGTAACTTTACCTGTTGATATTATTATTGATGTTTATTCTGCTCATAGTCTACGCTGCTAAAGTACAATATACACATGTGTAAATACTTCTGAACCACGTGCAAGTAAAGCTCCAGAGTTTATTTTATTTATTTTATTCTATTTTACCATCTCAATATCTTATTATAATTATAATATTGTCTTTTATCTTAAATAATAGACTCTATTTGATGTGTTCAATCTGAGTGCTCTTATATCCTTCTTTCTCTGCAGTAATGTGCGCAACAATGACACTGACATTTCCCCACAGTGGGACAAATAAAGGAATATCTGATCTTATAAAGGGTAATCTTTTTACTCTTTCCATCCAAAAATGGTATCACATTAATACAGGCTTTTATGTATTCATGTAGTAATTCAAAGATATATATATTGTATTGTAGTATTTACGTATTGAAATGGGTTTGTTCTAATTATTCATTGTTTATGTTGTATCTTAATGCCAAAGCTGATTATCATAAAGTGTGGCATAAAAAAGTCTTCAACTAAAGCTGGGGTACCTGATTTTTGGTCAAGTGAAGCAGCTTTCTCTACACAAGACTGAATCAAGGTGGACTACCCCTGCAGCAGCCAATCAGAAATCACATAGTGACTCATGGCTCCATCTTACAAATTTGCATTTATTATTGTTATTTATTTTATCTTTTTAGATTAAGACAATGCATCACTCACACATGTTTGGCCCAAAGGTCAAATTTACAGTATTGTTCATAGAAACACAACAGCAATCAACATGAACATTCAATGAAAAGTATAAAACTATAATTGTGGAGCGAAGCAGATCTTTTCATGCATCACTCTGAGACAAAGAACTGGTCAAACTCAGCGGGGTCTGCCACACTTTGAACAGTGTCGAGGAAATTATCCAATTATATGACAATACTGTCCCCTAGTGGTCACTACGAGTAAATGCTTGGAATATGTGAAAACATTGATATCTTGATTTTGAGGTTCAAATATTTTGATTTTAAAATTGTACACTGCTCTGCTTGTGTACATTTCTCTAAATGGCCTCGCACTAAAGTACATTAGTGACATGTTAGTCCCATATGAACCCACTCTGACTCTGAGGAGCACAGGGACTGGATTCCTGCTGGTGCAGAGTCGGGACTAAACATGGGAAGGCAGCATTTCATATTTATGCAGTTAAAATCTGGAACAGTCTTCCTGAAAATTGTTTTAACAATGTTCAATTTCAGGTTAAAAACAGGTATTTCTAGCTCTACATACAACTGAGGGATTGCATCTACACTCTCTTTAATGCACTTTTAATGTCTTGTTGGAATGGGTTATCTTGCTTTGTTGAGCACTTCAAGTTGCCGTGCCTTTATTCTGTAACCGTGTAACCATTTTAGGACAATCTTATATATTTTTGGGAGAGACGAGAGTCGTCCCCCCCAACACATAAATGGCTGGTTCTTCATGCAGATAACTATATTTGAATATTATTACAATGTTTAATGCATTCCTTCATATTTTGACTATTTCATTGCACCGTTTACCAAAGAAAATGTCTAGTTTGTGACTTCCTGTTTTTTACAATGGTAAAACAAATAATTCAGTTTCTAAATATTTTAAGCCACTCTGCGGAAAACTGTGATTTAGGTCTATACAAAATTAAACTTAATTGAATTCACATTTTGTTCCATATACTGGACTTTGTGCAGAATGTCATAATGGATTGAAAGGGAGTGGGCCTCTGTGTGATTTTACTGTATCATTTTTGAATTTTCCAACTGCATGATATTCAAGCTGATCACAGTGAAAGCATGAGGAGAAGACATGAGTGACAACAGGTAAAGCCACATGGCACCTCAAATTATTTTTCTTCCTGAGCCTCCTTTATGTTGAGGAGGCACAGGTCTTTTGGAGTGCAGGGGCCACTCCTGAAGACCTTCTGTGACTCTGTGGTGGCATCAGCCTATTGTACGGTGTGGTCTGCTGGAGCAGCATCACAGAGAGGGACAGGAAGAAACTGGACCATGACTGTCACTTATTCACAAGCGCTGTGTGAAGGAGAGCTTCTGCAGGGCTTTCCTTCCTGCTGCTGTCAGACTGTACAATGAGAACTGCGGAGCCTGTACATGTCATTCATCTGTAAATATGTTAATACTGCAATGAGAGTGTCGAATGAATGTCACTTGTTACCCAGCCCTGTATCCACCACATACATTTTTTGAAAGATTGATATTGAAGCATTTAAAGCTAGCTAAGAAACATAGCAGCTACTTGTTTTGCATAATTTGTGTGCTCCTGTCCTCTATGTGCGCTACAACATTGAAATTTCCCCAGTGTGCGACGAATAAAGGAATTCTTATCTTAAAAAAGTGAGAACCAAAGTTGAGATTGTGATCCATCATTTGATTTTCCTAATACTCTTTTTCAAACAAGTGTTAAATATATGGATACAGTATGTTTTTGTCTAATCTTCTTCATTATGATCAAAATAAAAGTAACAAAAAAAAACTAAATCCAATATCATGGTCATTTTTATTATTGAAATGTGAAAATCTTAAACAATATAAATCATCTTTACATAAGTACACAGCATAAAGGGAAAAATAACTTAACCAAGGCCAATCCAAGTGGCAAAAACAGGTTTTTCAAAGAGCATGTAAATGAAAACCTGAGTCAGACCAGGGTCTAAATTCACAGTGTTAAACTGGCAATTAAAGCTCCACTACGTAACTTTCTGATGGAGGCTCTTTACAGAAATGTCAAACGCAGTTAAGCGTTCAACTCTATTCCTAAAACAGAAGTTTTAAGCATTTTTAGCATTATTACACCCAAAATAAACATGTGTGAGACACTAGGGCTGCTAAATTTTCCAGACAAAACCATAAACAGTACATTTCCAATTAGAAAGTTAGGTCATGAGCTTCAACACAAATAGCTGCTTCTGGTCGAGGCACATCTGACGGGCTCTCGTCTCTGCACAGAGAATAACAAATAATTAAGACGCTAGCTTTGCCTCATATCCTCTTTTTTTGTCCCATTATAGACATGGTAAATGTGAAGTCAGCTGCTGCTTCAGATGTCACTGAACCAGGTTGGAAAAGCAACAGCCTTATACCCGGTCAAATTACCACTTCTTATTTACATATATTTTTATAATTTATATCAAAAGTCCTGTACTCAATTCTTACAGTCCAGGATCTTTAGAACTTTTTTTTTTTTTACAATTTGCAGCATTCTAAACATATTTCTCTCGTCCTAATTATTCATGGCAATCCGTTCACAAGCCTTATACATAAGAGTTGAGAAATCATAACTTAAGATCAACCATCCTTGAACAGACTTCTATGAATATACATGTTAAATGTGAAGGCTGCAAGTACCCTTTACACTTTTATCATTTCAATACCCCTTGTAAATCTACTTTAATGTAACTGTACTTATGCCCCTTAAATAAGTCATTAATAACAACAATCAAAACACTGAAAATATCAGCGAGTAGTGTCGCAGCACCGCCATGAGGTAGACCGAAGCAAGCACATTCCATTTGTGCTTGTTGTCGTCACTAGAATCCCTGCTCTCGTGAACGGAAAGGAGAAATATTCAACCATCTGCGTTCAGCCAACAGATACGATGCAGCATACGACAAAAATGATACTCCGAAGAGTTAAAATGACTTGAAACTTGAACCATATTCTCTCCCTAACAATTAAAAAAGAAAACGTTTTGACAAATAGGTCTATCTACAATTATCACTCAAATATATTCAAGTCAATTTCTCTCTTCAGGTTAAATCAATTGTGTAACATTAAATACAAGGCGTCAAAATTGGACGCAAACTGTCATTGACAATACTTTAGGCCAAGATACGAAAAAACAAAAATGTATGGGATTTTAGTGCGCAAAGAAGTACCTGAATAATTTCAAATAAAGAAATTATTAAGAGTCCAAATGAAAACTCTGTGACCCATTAACCAAACAAAGCACTGCCATTTCTGCAACAATACATTTCAACCAATTGTCTGATAACGTAAGATAGCAGCTCAGTGAGACGGGAAATAAAGCTGTCAAAGTCCATTCATTTCTCAAAAAAACTAAAGTGGAAGAAAGTGGCCGTGTTTAGGCAGGTGTTCGTAAACTCCAGTGTCATCTTGAGCCGTAGATTTCTGTTTTTGTTTTTTTTCCCCCAAATCCTTTTAGGCACTTTTGTCAGCATTGCCATAGCGCTGGTAGGGGAACTGTGCACTTGATTCTATCCGAGGTAGATTTTGCAAAGTCGGCAGGTGTTGGTACAGCACAGTCCTGCCCCCTGTGGGTGAGAAAAAGAAGGTACAGGTTCAACTTTTTGAGATGAGCAGATGTGGAATCAAAAAAATACGCCTTGTGGCCAGGGTAACACAATCTATACTAGTTTAAAGACTGATTTATTGTGATAATCTAGAATATTGAAAAACTATAAAACAAATAATTAACATTTATTTATAGATCTAGATCAGGGGTGCTCACACTTTTTCAGCATGCGAGCTACTTATAAAAGGATCAAGTCAAAATGATCTACCTACTACAAAAATGCAAATCATGTATTTATTTCAAAAAATATTCTTTATACCTACAATGTATGTTTATGTACATGCAAAACAGCATGAGCCAATATAGCACAACACAACACAATTACCTATGTACATTTTTTGTCATTACCCGAGTTTACTCTTATGACTTGCACTGAATTGAATCGGCCAGGGATGCATAGTCCGGAAAATTGGTGGTAACTCGCTGACAAGTTTGTCGTGGTTGAGCTTTCCTGCACTGAGCGCGGTTGTTTGCGCATGTGCAGTCACCTAAGTGTCAGTAAAACATTACTGAGTAAAACACAGATGTCATTTGACTGTGGTGCCATGTCCATGTGCCATGCCTGTTTTTTTTAAATCCAAATATTTCCCCTCCTCAGTTTATAAAATAATTTGCATCCACACATCTGCGTTATCAATCACATTCGTAACATTCCAAACATGTGCGTCTCTTACGTCCTGTCCTGCGTTGGGGAAAAACACAGAAGTGGGCGGAGCTTTGATGCAGACGCCGGTAACGGCACTTTTACAGTCATAGAAGACACTCAGAGTAAAGACGTATGTTTACAAGCACTGACCCCGTCCTCAGCCCTGGTTTAGTCCTGGTTTAGCCCTGGTTTAGTCCTGGTTTAGTCCTGGTTTAGTCCTGGTTTAGTCCTGGTTTAGTCCTGGTTTAGTCCTGGTTTAGTCCTGGTTTAGTCCTGGTTTGGTTGTTTTCGAGCGTGAGTCCCCGCGATCACTTTGCTGCTCTCTGATGTGGAGCGAGGATGTTCGCTGCTGCGAGCATCTCACAGCAAACAGTTTTTAAGGTAGTATGATCCATGCTTCAGTGATCAGAGGAATTTAGGGGGGTACTGTGGCGTGCGAGAACGCAAAACTCCGGTTATCTCTGTCTACACACAAATGCATTAACGGAGTTTTCAAAAATCTCCACTTTGCCCGGAGTTTTTTGTATATATTCGTTTAGAATGTGTAATTTTTTTATTTATTTAATGCGATCTACCAATACTACCTTTGCGATCGACGTATTGAGCACCCCTGATCTAGATAGAGCAGAGATTCTAATTTGGCATGAGCTTCAAAAGGTAAGATCAGAATTAAAGTCAGACTAGTCAAGTTGGTATTCACTCATCCACACCTCGGATTAGGGCTTCAACTGAGAAAACAATTAAACAAGCAATAATTCCTTTGATTAATTGATTACTGGTAGTTGTTTAAAATGTGATTTTTATCCAAATATAAACAGAAAAGGTTTATGCCTCAGATAACATTTACAGGCTGAACCATTTTAGAAATAAAATTGAGAAATGTTTTGTTTTTATTTGTTGTCATCACTGACTTGTTTGAGTCTTAAAATCACATCTCACAGCACTTACACGAGATAGAACATTTAACCATTAGATTAGTATTTGATCCAAAACTTTTTTATGAGCAAAAGAATATCATTACAGCCCCTAGCATGGAAAACAGATAGTAGATTCTGGTTCTGGCCGCTCACAAGGTGTAAAAGAGCCTAAAAGTGTAATGTAAATATGGCTGAACAAGGCCAGGTCCAATCTAGATAATTGCTGGAATGACTGGTCTTGTAAATATTCCACGCTCTGAATGTCAAGATAAATATTTTAAACGCTCACCTATTCTGGGAGGGTTTCCTGGTGACGTGTGGTAGAGAGACGCCAGATCGTTGAGTGTACAGGAGCGCAGCAGGTTCATGTTTCCCCACTCCGCGTCCAGAGCGCCCCCTAGTGCCACGGACGAGCTGCTCACCGCCCCCAGCGCGTCCTGAATGGAGGAACCCGGCAAACTCGCTCTCCCGGACATCATTGACAGACTTGGCATCTCCCCCGCGGATCTAAAACCCATGGCCATCTCCACCGCGTCGCCTTCTCTCGCTCCGTTGTACTTCGGCCGCTTGTTCGACGGCTCGCCCATATCCAAATGAGGCAGTTTACCGAATCGGCTCGAAAGGCACATGTGAGGCGCGTCGGTTTTCCAGATGACGCTGGTTCTAACCGGGTAACTTCTCTCTACGGTCCCCACGCGGTCTGGGATATCCAGCAAGTACTTGACACCTCCGGCGCTTGGCTTTCTCATCACTTCTGTAAATTTACCATCCTGGCCATTACCTTGCAACTCCACATTCTGCCTGCATTTTTGGCTTTCATTTTGGGACTGCTTTGACATCTTCTTTTCTTGCGTTTTCCCAGGCACCGGCGTCGGCGATTTGGTTCTTCTCGGGTAACTTCTTACAAGGATTGGCAGTGGGGTTACATCTTTGCCATCCAATGCTGGGGGGCAGCCAGTGTGTCTTTTCTGCAGCGAAACCGCAGACCTCCGGACATGATCGGACTTCTCCTTGTGCGCCAACTTCTTATGAATGGCAAGAACCTCTGGGTAGATGGTTTTATAGGGGCATTGTTGGCATGCAATGGGGATGGAAACTTTTCTTGGTGCGGCTGAAATGGACAGCGAAACTTTAAGGGACAAATTCAGCGGCGTGTCATCGTAATTTTCATCTTTTATCTCCTGTTTCTCAGTTTTCAGGTTTACAGGCATGTGAAGTTCAGCTGCACACTTGACAAAATCCCTGTAGTTGAGTGGCTTTGAGTCGGTGACTAATACGCTGGGAATACATTTGGTTTCCGTGGGGTAAGGTTTGGAGTCTTGAATCCACATTTTGGTCGGTGAGGAGGAGTTTTCGCTGTCCTGTTCCATTTTGAGGTCTGGCGGTGAAGGCAGAGAGGCAGAGGAGGAGGAGGAAGGGCGGATAGGAAGCTCCATGTAAGGCTTTTCTTTGTGGCGTCGGTCCAGGTGGTATTTTAATGACGTCTTCTGAGCAGCGGCGTAGTCACAGTACGTGCATTTGTACGGCTTTTCACCTGTACACGTACACACACACACACACGAGATGATCAGTTATCTCATAGATTAGGACTGGCAATGGATTACTGTTAGTCTAAAATAGTACATAATAAATAATAATAAGATGACAATAACAAAGTGTTGTATGATTTTTAGTGTTTATCGCAAACAGTTATTTTTTAAACAAACAAAGTGGAAAGTTGGTATAAGTAGTTTTGATGAATAATAAAAGCATGAAAAAAGGAACAATTGCGGGCTTGATAAAGAAATTCCACTTTGACTTAAACCAAAGATCATTAGAGTTCAAAGACTGGCATTTAAACAATTTTATAACTAGAGTTGACAACTGAGCACAGTGAGAATAACATCAAGTCACAGAGCACGACAGACAGTCCCTTTGTGTTATAAATGTTAGAATGATACTGTCTGTAATGTATTCTCTCTATGACTGTTGTACCTGTGTGAGTTCGGAGATGAACAGTGAGGTAGTAGCTGGATCTGAACGACTTCCCGCAGTAAGTGCACTCCTTCGATCGGCCTTTTGTGCGTTCAAAACCCTCTTCAGCTGAAACAAACACAACACCAACAATGAATACTTAATTCCACCAGCAGAGGGAGCCACTGAGAGCCACAGGAAAAAAACGGTCAGGTGCATTATGAGGAAAAAGTAATTAAGACTGAAGAAGAAAAGAGAAACAAAGGTAATGAATAGTAGATGATTTCCGGACACATTTATAATGATATTGTCTTAAGATATTAAACAGTCCTGTAAAGCACAAGATTTCCTAAAATGGGGTCACATAACAAACTTCACAAAGTGCATGTTTACATTTTTAAGATAAGGTTATAGTACACTTTTCTTTTTTCTTGAGTTATAAAAACGTTTGGGCTACTCCTGTACATTTTTTAATAAACTTTAACTTAAGGTAAAATGAGCCTCAGATTTCCATTTCAGACTGCACTTTTCACAGCTTTTTTAATTTGTCATTAGTAACACAAACTACAAATACATTTCATTCAATGTGGAAACCCTACTTTGATGTGCAAGCCATTATTTATCGAGGGGTATACTCAAGAAAGCTGATTTTTTTACTTAATTAACAATCTTAAATTAACTAAAGTTACTGACTGCAATAAAAAAGAAAATGGAAGTAAATGTAGACTTTTGTCCGTCCCTGACCTGATGCCAGTATGTCTGTAAGCGGCCCCTCCTCTGTGATCAGTCCCTCCTCCTCCTCCGGCTCCACAGCTCCGCTGAGGCTCGGCTTCAGCTCCAGCCCAGATGTGGGACTCTCTCCACCTGGACGGTCTCGTTTGTGGATCCGGGAGTGAAGGACCAGCTGGTGATATGTCCTGCAGGAGGAGGATGGAAATGTTAAGAGTTACAGCTATATACATATCAACTCAAACGTTGTATGAACTATATTAGAACGATTAGAAGTATGTGAGTTTCTTCATTTTACTGTATGTCAAAGCATAAGGAAAGAGTCAGAAGATTCACATTTTGGATTACTTTTGCTGGGGCATAAATTGTGGTTTTAGGTGTGATCCATTAAAAGTCACAGCTAAAATCACAAGACATGCTTACATTCCTTCTCTTCTGTCAAAACAACCCCTCTCAAATGAATAAAAGTTAAAATCAGGCTATTACTTATAAATTGTGAAATTAAAGTATGGGTCAAATCTTGTGTAAATTTACCTGAATGTTTTCTGACAGTCCTCACACGTGGTGGGCCTCTCTTTGTTCTTGTCCTTCTGAATGAGTGAGCGACGAGGCCGCTGCGTTGGGCCCGTTATCGCAGGAGCAGGAGGGCGGACATCTTTGGAGGCCGCTGCTGGTCCCTCTGTGGAAACACCGTTCAACTCTTCCCTATCAGACGTGTTTTCTTCGTTATCAGTGCTTGCTTCCTGTCCAATATCTTTAATGTTATTTGGCCCAACTGCTATCTTGCCTTTGGTCGCAAGCTGCCATGCTTGGTACGTGTTGAACGGGTCCAGCTGAGCGATCCATTTCGAGGTTCTGACTGGCAGCAAAGTTGCCTTTTCTCCAGACGGTTGGAGGTTCAAACCGTGGATAAAAGTCTGTTTGGGCCGTTCCTCTTCTTTTACTTTCAAATTCTCTCCATCTCTGTCATGAAAGTCTGCTTCTCGGTTATGAATTTTGCTGTGACTGGCCAAACTGTCGTGATCAGGGAAGAAAAACCCACAAACCATGCACATTTTGTAAAGCGTTACCGGCGATTCGGAAATCTCTTGCGTGATACCGTTTATTGTTGTTGGGGCGTCAAATTCTTGCGCAGCTTTGCTTTTGCCTGATTTTGTGTGCATTTTCATGTGTGCTTTCAAAAACCAGGGCTCTCTAAAGCGCCGTCCGCAAACATTACAGCAGTAGTAGAAATAGTCCTTGTGCTTTCGCATATGGTTTTCCAGCTCCGGTGCATCTTGGAACACTTGCTTGCAAACAATACAGCTGTGAACTTGTTCTCTTTCCACAGTTATGATCGGTTTCGGAAGATTTCTTTCACCGGGAATGCGAAATTCGGCTTCTACGCGCAGCACGGCCGGTTCTGGAAATGTGGTCGGGTGCTGTTCCAAGACGTGGGGGCCCAGGTCATCTTGATGATCGAAGGTTTTCTCGCAGAACATGCAGCAGATGAGCTGGTCCACTGCTGTTACTATGGCCCTCTCCAAGCAGGGGCCGTGTGGAGTCATGCTGGAGACGATATCAGGCATTTTGGCACTGTGGCCAATCAGGATGTCCTGCGTGACAGTGTCTGGACTCTCCACAAACGAGAGTAAGGAGTGAGTGGGCATCGTATGACGTCAATGCCTGTTAAGAGAGCACAGGTCAGATCTGGGTATGACAGTGAACGAATGGTCAGAATAAATCAAACAAAATGACAACAAATGCAACAATGCAATGTTGTTGGAGACATGCAAATTAGAATACAGAAAACATGTGAGTACATGTATGCTATGATTAAAAAGTATCTTTTATGGGCACATTCTGCTGACATTTAAGTCACAGCATACACAACTCCAACAGTAAAAACTGAAACAGGAAATGAGTGTCAATGCGTCTATCACACTGCCCCCCCCCTTAGGTTCCTGTGATATGGTGATGATAAAGGCTTCTTTGTTTATCATAATATTGAGCCACACGGCTGAACAGCATCTTCTGTCACTAGAGTCGGCAGCTGTCCACATTACAACTCTAAAAATCATCTAATCCAAGAAAACGCCAACGGTACACATAAGTAATGTGAACTAGAGCGACTATGATAAATGGCCATAAAACTTTACACCTTGAAGAGCAAAGAATAAAGCAATAGATCAAGTAATAAATTGCTTGAACCTTGAGATGTCTTCATTAGATCTTTGTTAGATTTTGAATTAAGTATAAATGACTGACACATCTGCCATTTGTCTATTTACAATATTCTATTTTAATTCAATGAATTTTTGTTTCCTTCTTTGAAGGAATTTTATATACATATACAGTGTATTGTATATTTGTATATTGTAGTGTATTTTTGTAACCAATTTCTTAAAATTGTAAAATCATATGATATAAATACTGTAGTTGTTACCAACAACATGGGCAACTACAGTTGGAGACTAGTGTCGCACATTAAGGAATAAAAGTAGGACTAATATAGTCTGGTAAACAAAGTTGCATTGGTAGTTTATAGGATAAATCTCAAACCTATCACATAAAACTAGCCACCTCCTACCTATCAGAAAAAGACTTAAGGAGTCTTTTTCAACAGCAAAAAGTGATGATCCGACATCCTACAAAAGCATAAGATTAGAATGGCAAGACTATGAAGGATTCAATTAAACCCAAACTAATTCAACAAAACGCAATCTATGCCATACTGATACTGTGCACAATAATGAAAAGAAAATGCAGTACTGATCAAGGTTTAACTCGAATCCTATGACAACATTATAGCATGGTACCATTTGCATGTACATTACAATTAAACAGGATCAGCAAAGAATGATTAAAATGCTAATTGATTGATAGTTGAGAAGAGTGGTTTTGAGCCTCTTTTGTCTTTAAGTACCGCCCTACATGTTGACTTACACTTTGAGCACTTCCTACATCTGTATCAGCCAAAAATGCAGTGTTAATGTCTGTGTGAGTCATAAATTCTCTGCTCTCAGCGTATGGTGTGCGGTGGAGAAGTAAGTCTATATTCAGAACACAATGAACCCTATGTTTCGCACAGGTTTAACTATGGGTTTTGATTTTTTGACACAAATTATGGAGGAAAGAATATAACGTATGAGTATCACAATGTAGACACAAAAATGGATTACATGAACAGTTGTTTTTTTTTAGTACAGTGCGGTATAATTTCCTTTGAAGAGAATCATCTTAGTTACCTATGACACTGTAGTTCTATTGGGTGACTTCTTTAATGGAAATCAAGAATATTCTAAGTGAATGTATTGACTATTATTCATGACAAACGATTAGTTGTGATGAATGTTTAATGCTTTAAAACAAAAGCTTTTCTTTTACCTCAACACCCCGCTTGGTTGCCAGACAAAGTACATTCAGGAGAAAGAACGTTGCCATAGCTAAGTAATGCCTGATCAAGCAATACACAGGGGTTAATTATCTTTGTGATATCCAGTGATGCTATTACATTTGTATACGTGTATTATTAATTAAACCCAATAATAATCACCAGAGACCTTAAGACGGTACCGTTTCTATAATGCGGAGATAGGAATGCCTTTATCTCCATATGCAGAACAAACCACGGGTCGACGCAGTGCAACTTTAAGATCTGATCACTAATTGCTAAGAGTATGTGCAACAATGCTAAGCTAAAAGTGGCTAAGTTTGTGCATCTTTGACACTGTGGGCAGTTAGCAAAACAAAGTGGAGTTTATCTTTTGCCGAAACTCACCGTCGCGCTAACAATACACCAACAACAAACCAACTTGACAATGTCCCGACGTAAACGTGTGAAAAAGCGGTCGAAATACTAGTTTGCACTCTTGTCTGGGATGAGTGAGTGCGGAGAGAAGCATCGGGAAGCTGGATGAGTCTCTTCAGTGTCTTATAACAATGGGCAGAGCTGCTCACCTTGTGGTTTCAAGCACATTATTGCAGAGGACTCACACTGTGCAGCTGTTGGACTGAACGTGCGCGCGCCCGAGGGATGGGTCGCGTGCATGAGCCAACACGAGGAAAAAAACGGCGTCACGTGGTTATAACGAGCGCAATTAGTGGAAAAAGTAGTGTGATGAAAAGATAAACAAGAATTCTATTGTCCAAATAGTGTCACGTGGGCTTAATGGATATAATATGAATACGGAAAAAAGTTGAATAATGAGTTCCATATCATTTTACTTTACTATGGCTATGTACAAAAATCCACTACGATGAAACTACTGACAACGTTATACAAACATCTTCACTTTTACTATAATCTACAATACTTTATGAAACAGGAACGGCAGTAATTATTCATAATTACATGAATTGATTTATGAGAAGTAGAGATATTTTGTATATACCATAGTAGAAAAGACCACCTCTGCAATTCAAAAATATATAGACGTGTCAATGATGCCAGATAAGAGGGACGTGGTCTGAAAACAAATAAACAAACTTCAGAACAGTATCGGAACTATCCAACGACCTCAGGGAAAGATCAATAACTATTGAGATAATTCATGTTCTTTGCTTGTTAGTTACAGTTTGTTCGTCTTGGGGCAGAACTATTGGATAAAAAATGGTTAGTGTGAGAATTCTGTTTGTTGAAGTATTGCATGACAACTAGAAAATATTATGAACATTAAATATTGGGTGTGTGCAACACATCACCCAAACAGGATTATAGGGTGCAAATACAAAACATGATTTACCAGGGCTGACAAACGTGTTAGTGATTAGAGTTACATTTAAACAATATATCCATTTGTGTTGGAGAGAAATCTGAACTGTAATAATAGAACAATCACTCATCTGTAGGAGGACTAAACTATTAGCAAGTTTTATAAAACAGAATGTTGTCAATTTGATATCTTCATGAGTGATTGATTTATTTGTTTAGCCATGAACAAGAGAAGCTGAAATAGACAACAGGAGGCAGTCCAAATGAGCCTAAAAACTATTCTAGGACCTTTTAATCATTAACCTAATAACTAATATGTCTTTGCTTTATAGTTCATTACAAACTGTTTTTTTGACAAACTTCTTATTTAGGGTAATATAGTTGGCATTTTCAATTAAATAAATAGAAAAGACCAAAAGATCAGAAGTGCCTTGGACTCCTCTTTCAATTTTGTTTTTGGCTCAGTGCACTGAAGAGCACCAGGTTGGCTTTGAACATCCAGTGAGCAGTCAAAACCAATTTTCATTAAATAGTTATAATTGTCATGGAAGAATGATCAATGAATATTACAAAACCTTGATACAACATGATAATGTACTCAAGAAGTTAAGGTTACAAAACAATTTAATGAATTAAAGAGAAAGAGTAACTTGTTTTATCAGTATTCTGGATCAGATTTCTTTTCCAAATGAATAACTGAGGCATTGTCAGGTTGAGGCGAAATTGTGAAAACTAACTATACATAGTTCCCACAGACCAATGAATGTCACATGACCTCCTCGGAGACGCCATCTTTGATGGCACGCTGCTGTGTTTGTGCATTCCATTAAACAGAAGAATGAGAATAAATGTAGATATTCAAACGCAAATTGGAAAAAAAGGGCAACTTTTGAGCAAATAATTGTATATTAATACAATGGCACCACAGTTTAACGTGCTACGGACATGTTTTACATATTTGATCAAATTATGCAGCAAAAATTAACAAGCAATGCAAACATTTCTCAAAACTTTAGATTTAATACCATTTGGAGCTCCATTTAATTATTTTAATTATATTAACAATTAATTTAATTAATGCTAATGCCACACGGACACTCTGGATTGCTGTTATTGTTTATTTCCGCGTTTTTGACCGTATGTTTTGGTGAATGGTGGGCAACTGATTTTTCCAGGCGTAAAGAGCAGTTTATTTTATGACACAGATCTTTTTACAGAAGCAATGCTGTTTGTGAACATTGTTTTAGCCCACCATAGAACTATTATTATCTATTTAATACATTTAGGTTGCCCTCGAGAGCCTCGGACGCGACACCGATCCTCCTCATAATAAAGTAATCTAACGCTAAATAATGAAACTCTCAAGTTACCAGATATCAGCATACACAAGTTAGTACTGAGTAAATTACGTCTGTCAACACATTATGAGATACGATACGCACCTGACACAAAGTGCTCCGAGCATATTCTTGCGTGTTTTGAGGGAGTTTCTTGCCTGTTTATCTTCGCAAGCCATAACCTCCGTGGTTGTTCTGACAAAAGCTTAGTCTTCTCACATTCATGAAGTCTAATGATGGGTATACTGTAAAATCCAAGTTTAACGGAACCTCCGGCACGATTTGAACATCCATTGACCCAGCAGGAGATGACCATTTTCAACTTTATCACGACATTAACACGTTTCAGCTTCTTTTTCTATTGTTTTGCCCACAGAATGCCAAGACAAATGGCGCCGGGTCGGCAAATCCCCGTATGTAGTGACGTCATGTGGGAACTATGTATTAGAAAAACCTTATAATCAGTGTGTTTATATTATTTTCTTATCATTTTGAAGCACAACAACCAACCTTGAATATGCCAGTGGAGATAAAATAATCAGAAAAAAATAGGAATACAAAAAAAGAGAAAATGTATTAACTGTTTTGATTCAATCTGCTGTGACAACAGACACAAGTC